CACGGCTGACAAACGCCTATCCTGACATGTGTGACACGCATTATACGTCAATTTGGACGCATCACGAAGTCGGAATACTCACAAGGAGGTTTTACAAGCATAAATTCTAGTCTTCATCAAAACACGGCTACGAAATAACTGATTCATACGGAAGTCTGGATGTGTACAGTTAATACCGAAGCAAAGCAATGGTTTGATAGATGTGCTGAAATATCTGATGGTTTAGTCTAAATTGTGTAAGGACCGGTTGCATTCATTATCCCTTCCATCCTCACCACAATTGTACCCTATCCTATGACCTGTGGAACGGGGTATCTGTTAAATTATTGCGAGAATCTACATTATTTTTTATTAAAAGAATTAACTGTATAAACAGCGGTTTAAACTTATATTTCTAGTTAATTTATAACGACTTATTAACAATGGAATCTAAGAGGGTTTGCACTGTACCGATTACAAGTGGAATGGAATATATCTGTACTTGAAATGTAACGAGGTTTCTAGGCTAATTCACCCGTTACCTGTTGGGATCCAATAGCCTCGCCGCGAAATTCTCTCTCATAAACCCCCGGAACATATGTTTGGAGGGCGGGAACCTCTACTATCAGGCAGTTAGGATATCATTTTTTAGAAACCATCCTTGATTACCGACGGAATTTAAAACAGGTGTGTTTTGTAATGTGAATGGTGTATCTCGTGAACCTGCAAATGAAATAGATTGAAAATTGATGTTTAGAGATAGACTTTTTTTTGTAAAGCAGCAAATCTAGAAATATTTCCATTGCAAAATGTTCATGGAATTTACTTGTATGCTATGCTATTAATTTTGATCCTGGAGATCGTTTGATGTACTCATCTGAATACTTATCAGGCAAATTTTATCGCTTAATGGGAGAATATGTAAACATTAGACACAAATTTACACGTGGTGATTATATAATGGGACATGCTAGCGGTTTTAAAGGTTACCTTTATACGCAAATATCAATTTGTATGGTGTCGGTATCTGTAGATTTGTAAACGAACACATGTTTGTTTTGCGCTCCCTCGTCATAATTACCACCAAATATAACTAAATTGGGATTTTCACGAGAAGAGAACAAGTAAGAATTAATACGTCAAATAGTATTTTATCATATAGAAAAAACAAAACGGAACAAAAACCAAAAAACCAAAAACAAAACAAATATCCTTTCAAAGACTACAATTGAAAAGGAACTTATAATACAAATTTATTAGAGTTTGATACAGTAGAGTTAAACAAGGAATTAAACTGCATCATAAAGTTGTTTCGTCCTTCTAGAATTCGTCAGTGGTGACGAGGGCCTTGGAGGCGACGGAGGCAACTCCAAAGTGATCGAAAGAAAAGCCTAGATGAGGAGGTGAATTAGCCCCATAATTATAAAAAAAATCGTAAATTCCATACATCATATAGTTTTAGAACATCGTTAAGTATATGTAGATATTCTGAATCGTGCCACTGAAATTTTTATTTAAAAATTTAAATGTGACATTCAGGTTGGTTACAGCAAAACTCGTGGACTGAATATCTACCGGCAGTGTCTATCGCCTGTAATTTTGAAGATTGTACAAAAGACACACCATTAAAAAGCACCTTTTAATACAAGCGTTTGATACAGTAGAAACAGACAATGAATTTAACTGCAACATACAGCTGTTTCCTCCTTCTAGGACATCCATGTCAAAGATAAATACATAAATCTACATGAGGTCATTTCGCCCTTTTGTCAGAGAAGAATGAAACAGAGGCTAAAACTTAGAAATATAAGTAATTATGCTTTGAGAACGAATTTGTCACTCAGCGAAGACAAGTAATTTGAAAGAAGGCCGAAAATAACCATGGATGATTTTTTTCCATTATAGTATTGTATCAAAACCGATTTCGAATATGGATATTGAGTCAAAATCGTGTTATATGCTCATGAGTTTTTAAGAGATGGGCTGAAAATTGAGATAAAGAGACTCTCTATGTAATATTGAAATGCTATGAAATTAAAGAAAAATTATTCTTGAATTAAGCATTTCAAGTTTCAAAGATGTTGATTAAAATCTGATGGTGGGATTGCCCGGACAGGATTAAAATGCTGAAAAATGTGCAATACCAACTCAAACATTGATAGAACAAAATGTCCAGAAGGAAAGAACATTTTCATTTTATGGTGAGGAAGCCTAGTAAAATTTGAAACTGGGATATATTTGGACAAAATTTAGATTTGGAAAAAAACAAAGGGCAGTTACTCTTTGAAATAGTGACAAAACATGTTGCCACAACAAGAATTCAGTATTAGAAGTACCATCTGTCTTGAATCTGAGGTGTCTACATTTGCACTTCAAAGCATCTGTACTGTCTTGTAGTTTAAAACTCCTAACGAAATACTTGTGGAATGGTACAGACACACGAAGTCAGACAACTCAAATGTTATACGTCGCCAAAGCAAGGTTAGCTCTTACCATACACTTATCGTTGATTAAGTATGCACATTTTTATCTTGTTTGTTTGTTTTGACAGCCATAGCTGTATCATTCATATGTTATTTACGTATTTTTTGTTTTTATTTTTTTTAACGGGCTTTACGTTCACCGTTACGGCCTTTCGGCCTTTCACTGAACAGTCCATCATTTATGTCCTTAAAGACCTTCTTTCTTTGGAAAATAGTTCCAAAACTATTGTAGTAGATGACATGACCTTTGACCCAACAGCCTGAAAAGTCACCTCACAAAACCGCTCCACATTAGCGTCATGTGTACCAAATATGGTCATGATCGGTCCATATGAAGAAAAAAAATTTGTAAGAAAGCCAGTGTAGATACTATTAGTTAGACCTACGAACATGAAAGCAATCCAATGTGTCATCTTCAAACAAGCAATGCTTACCAAATATAGTCATGGTAGATCCATAGGAACAGAAGCTATTGTATAGAAACCAAAGTGATATGACCTTTGACCTACAAACCTGAAAAGAAATCCTATGCGTTTCCTCCGTACAAACAAACTGTGTACTTTTATGAGCATCATCGACCAAAATATTCACATGTTGAAACTAATCACAGATAATCTATCACGTGGTCGATTATTCAGGCAAATATTGCGGAGAACAGACATATTATGGTTAAACTCGAGTCACTCCCAGCTCTATACCAATGGTCGCTATTGTGGCTTGACAACGCAATCTGTGAGGGCGTGGCATGATTTCTAAACAACAAACATATCATACTGAAAAGTAATTTTTTTCCCCCTCAGAGATCTGTACACTCTACTTATAAGTGGGATCTACTATTAAATATGTTAGATGAACCATTTCCTCATGCTAAAGTGATTACATCCAGGACACAGAAAGCGACATTCCGTTCCTGTCTGCTCCTGTGTAACTGTTATTATTTTTTTTTAAATATCCTTATCCTTACTGTATGCGGTTTTTATCTATAGTTGCTATATTGTGATGCCTTTTACAGACGTTTAGTTCATCTGACGTCCTTTTTTTCTTATCTCCATTGTCTAAACATTACAATATCAAAATTTGTCGATTAACACCTTGTGATACAAAATTCTGATACTAGTATCATCCTGATTAGTACCTTTATAACTTAAACTTGTCCACACATCTGTTGTGTCCTTCTACGACTCTCGGTAGCCTAGGGCATGGAGATCTACACACCTAATAGGGAATACCAAATTCGGTCAAAACCAATGCAGATATATAAACGGAGAGGTACTCTTATCCAACATTTGTCGTAAATTGTAAATATGTGATAATTTCTATAAGAACGTTAAGTACCGAACATGTATTTATATTGAAATGTGTCGCACATCAAATGGATTTAAACTTGGCGTTTGACAGACATCTGGGACGTAAGTCTAGAATCACAGCTAACCCTCGGCAATTTAAAAAATCTGAAAACACAGTTTCTTGGGAGACCAATTTTCAGGATGATCGTTACAATAGTGACGTCATAATTATATTTGACGGTGATGATGATAATCTACTGCAAAAAAATGTCACAAATATTTCATTTAAGTTTTGAACTATTCTTCACAACAACGAAATAAGTATTAAATTAAGAACGAAAAGTTTTTTATGTTCTCTTACTCGACAACTAAGTGAGATGAACACGTTGTTCATATTGTGGAAGACATCCACTTAATCTGAAGCATATATGCTTCTGTTGATATTGGCCACCACTAAATACACAGATGACGTGTCCGCATGTGCTATTTCACCTGCTGGTCTTGTTATCCATGTGCACGAACGATGGTAATGGTAATTATTCACACCTGTGTTTTGAGTGATGTTTGGCATAACGACTTAAAATTATCGTCATCTCTTATTTAAATCCGAAACAAAAAACGAACATACTTCAGTAGAACAATATCGCTAGATACACAAACTATGAGCAATGTAATTCTGGTCTTGTAGCGTATTTGTTGCTATTCCGGATAGCAATTACACGTACGTTTCCTATTTTGTTATTCTGAAGCATTAACACGGTCTCTGTGTACCTAAGACATATTTATCCCTGAATCAGTAATTGAATGTACAATAGCACTGCACGCGTTTTTTGCCATTAAACTTTTTATTACGGAAACGTCCTTGGTTAAAAACCTGAAACAATGCCAGCCGCAATATGTTGAAATTTTCGAGTATTTCATAGGCAGTTGAATTCTCAAGAACAATTTGGCATATCAACCGCTTTCATTGCACGATTTTCTTACAAAATTCAAAATTGAATAGCGAGATTAAAAAAGAAGGACAAACAATTTGAAAGTCATACTGAGTATACCGAATAGATTTCCCCCCGTCTCCGCTTATTAGAATTCCGATTAACAGGTTTTTTGTTGTTAAAGTTATCTATGTTTGCTATATTTGAAAATTTATCACCATGCCTGTGGCTTTGCATTTGTATTGACATATTTCGTTTGTTTGATGACTTGGGATTTTTTTGTCCGATATTTGTTATTTTCATTTACATTTTCATTTCAGAACAAGGCTCAGGTTGCGGGGTTACCGTATGTTACGGCGGAAGTAAGATGTTGCGATGCGACAGTTCTCAGATACTCATAACAAACGTCACAGATTCGAGCACAGGAAATGATGACGTCAGAGCTTTCCAGAACTTGAGACGCATGTGTATGGGAAAATCGTCATGTGACACGTCTGTGATTTGTAATAAAAGGAGTCTGAAGGTTTCTTACTTGTGTATAAGCGGTAAGAAAAAGTAGCACCAGAAAATGATGTAAAAACATTTTTGAGAGAAATCTAGAATTATTTTAGGCTAAATGGAAAAAATCCTCTATAACTGAATGACATTCATGGATTTTTTTTTCAATTTCTTATTTATTAATTAATTTTATGTTTTATTCATTGTTTTTAAATTTCCAATTACATAAAAAAAATTCAATTATATCTCAATTGTTATTTCATCAAAAAACGTGTAACATGTACATTGGCAAAACAAATATGTAGATGCTGTCAGTTCTGCTTCATTGTAACAGCTTTGATATAGTGCTGTCCGCTGAACCTGGCTGTTCCCCTTATCATTTATCTATCTCTAAACGTACAAATCAGTATCGAATGTGTAAGGATTCAGCGGAGAAAAACATCAAAGACAACCCCTACGGTGATTAGGCTCTCGTGCGAGTACGGAGTTATCAGGCTAATGGACACAATCTGAACGATTCGCGAACTATGCTTCCAGAAACAGAACATTTGATTTGCTTTGATGGATTAACATTACAAAGCATATATTTTTACAGACAATTAGTGTGTAAAGCGATTCCACATCCGACGAATATCCTTTCAGAGTTAAGATGTTTTGTTACAAAACCTTTGTTATTTATTAATATTACAATACACCATCCAGGATTTCTGTTTGGACACATTTTTTCTATATTTTATGTATCATGAAGACGGAGTTCTGAGCATTTATATCTAATTTTTAAAAAATCTCAATGAAACGTAACGTTATATGTCGATGTCATGTAATTGTTCCGTGAAATGTTGAAAACCGTTTCTAGCTCAGATAAAACAATAAAGTTGTTCACAATTTATTAAATATTTGCAGAGTTTTCCATGGAGCGCACGTGTACAGGAATATTACAGGAACTGACGTCACTAGATGGTTTTATCCAGAGTCCATCCTACCCTTCTACAACGATTGATCGTTGCCAATGGCGGATCCTCGTCCCAAATGACTCTTACGTCACAATAACCGTCCATGACCTTGAGAAAACAGGCCAGACTCAATCTCACTGCGAGGCTGGTATCCAACTTTCAACTTCACGCGATTGTGTCAACCATACAGTACCATCAAACACCATCTGTCACGCTGACAACCTCGAACCTATGGTCGCGTGTGGTGACGTAACCGTCAACCTCGTTCCCAGCGATATTCAACATTCCAAAGTTAGGTTCTGGTTGTCGTACAAAGGTAAAAAGAAAATCACTTATCAATATCTTCAGATCCCATTAAAGATATCCTCATATTTATTATGTTTTGGTTATTGCAAAACTTTATCAATTTCTATCTGTCGAGATTCTACGGAGGTACAGAGGGCGCATAGGGGATATTTTCCCACTACGTGCGGACGTAATATCGAAAGTGATAAAAGTAGTGTGTATATGATTTCCTGTTACGTGCGCACGTAATATCTATTCCGCGCACACATAATAGCAAATAATGTTTCACTACTTTTCTGAAGTATGCACTCGATAGAAAAATATATCACTACTTTCATTACGTGTGCGTGTGGTAGAATATATATATGTACGATGCCCCCCTGTGAACGTCCCGAATCATCATTTACTTGATCAACAAACTGTAATTTAATTTAAATGTTTTAAAATCGTATCAAGTTGATTTTAACACCAGATAATTAGTGATAGTTTCTACATCTGAAATGTGACACGCTACAAATGAACACTTTTTTTTTACATAATAGGGATAGATATATTCTTTCATTTCACAGATATCAATGATCTATAGATTTCGAAAACCTTCATTCAGATTTTGTATGTGGATTTTCATGCATTGATTAATTGAACGATATGTTGCGTTATAAACAAATATAAACGGCCATTCATGTTTAATTTCATTGCAATAATTTGATATTAAATTTATGTTGATATATATTTACACAAAAAATGTAACCGAATTCGTATGCACTCTGATAAAAAAATATTGCATTGTTAGCAAGTTTCCACGAAGATGAATGATTTACATACATTTCAAATAAAAGGAACTGGGCCACGCGTGCAAGCCCTGTTTTATCTTGTTTTAAGTTTCAGATATGTGACTTGATTGTAGTTGTCTCCCTTACTTAGATCTTCTTTCGGCGCGTAACTCAATAACGCATTATGGAATACAAATCCTAGGTCCAGTTTATTTTGTCTTAATATTTGACATTCAAAATTCCTTAATCCATGATTGTGACAAACAGTTTTTTTTCCATTCACATTTAGTAATAAATTTTGGAGACAGTGTTGACCTTGACCTTCGGCAGCTGTCCACTACTTGTCCGGAGGGAACCTACGACAAACACATGTCGGTGGTCAGTAGTCTCCAGGGGCTATCTGAAGATGCACTTATACAACCGGACTCCTCCGATTTAAGTACGTAACGCTATATGTATTGAGATTGTAACGTCACTGCACTGTTAGCGCGGTAGGTTAGTGTGAGGGTAACTATTTCCGGTGTATGAGGAGATTACATCCAAAATATATCGATGCTTACTTTCTATAGCAATTTCCCAAATCAATGTGCTCATGGATCATGAAATGTTTTAACGGACTGGACATTTGTCCCGTATCCTTAATTAAGATTAATTCCATGTCTATTGGAATTATCCTTGTTTTATATAAAATATTGAAAATGTGGTGAATTCTCCGTGTCCAGTTAATATAGAAAAAAGTTAAAACACTGAAAAACACATCACATTCATATAAATTAACATAATTCCCCGGTGTAAACTAGTATATTTCAATATTTGTTATTTGTTTCACCATCATGAAGTACTAGAATTAGATAGGAGATATCTTGTTTGGAATGTGTATCATTTGTATATTGTTTTTTTCTTCAGTAGAAAATGTTTACTCAGTATTAAATGAAGAGGGTGATGTTTACGATAATCATAATGATTTAGCTTGATTTGCGATATTAATGGAACATGTAGACGCTTTTGGGTTTTGCCTGTCCATTTAGAAGTCGGTTATTACTACAACGGCTAAATACTTCTAGACATTTAGAATAACTGTAATATAATTTGTTTGTGTTTTGTAGTAGTTCCAGTAGAAATTATTACATCAAATATCACCATTCTGGAGAAAAGGGAGATAATTCAAGCCGACATGACGGAAAGAACAGGTACGCGTGATATTATGTATCATAACCAATTCAGATATCAAGGAGATAGTAATGGATAAATCATATACAACACAGTTGGATTTTATTTTCCAATATTTGTGAATTTATGTTCTATTCTGTATAAACATCTGAAAGGTTCCTTTTTTAAGTTCTTGATCTGAAACTTACTCCCAGCGAATAGGAAACAAGACAGAAGAAATGAATTATAAAAAATAATGCAAGAAACCCCCTCCCCCCACCTCACACACACACAAAAAAATACAGATAGGAAAAATTAAGTATGTTGAACGTTGTTTTTGAGGTTTATCAATGTAAAATATTGAATTGATAAACACGTGGTTTAACGCCTGTTGCAGTTTTCTACATCGCTGTAGCCGTGGCCGCTATTAGCCTGACCGGTCTTGTCATCGTCACTGTTGTTTGTATCAGGTTGGTAAATTACGACGGATTTGTTTATACCGAAATTTTGTCAAATATGAATTGAAATTTATACAATGTACTGATGACAAATCCGTCCATCAATACATTCACAGCTGTAATTAAGAACAATAATATATCGTAAATTAACAAACTATTTGAAAGCCAGCACTCAAGGAACGGAGAAATATAGTAAAACTGTAACTATAAGATTAAGCCTAGCTGTTTGAAGGACGTAAAATCTTTAAAAAAAAGAAGCTTCATTTGAAAAAAGGTTAAAAAACATTGGTTTATTACGGATGCTTAATGTATGTTGCTGTTTCTGGAAGTAAGCTTATATTAAAAGTTTTCTAACGTAATTGTTTTTCACAGACGTCAGCGGACTTTAAAAGCTGCCGGGTCAATTCAAGTTAATCGACTTCCGGCTCGTCCGACGGTTAGCAACGCTTCTGCAAACAGACCACTTCCGCCTATCGATAAAGAAACAAAGCCAGCAAAACAGAACGGACATTCGGCAATGCGGGCGAGTCTTCAAGACGGTTATAGCAGAGTAGCAGACGAGATCCCGTACAACTCAAGTCAGGACTCCACACGTTCCCCAGCTTACGCCGAAGTCGACGACAATATCAGTCCTGTTCCGGGGCGTCATGTATTTAGGTTTGGTCTTAATGGAGAGCGAAAATCTTCAGTGGAAAATGTTTACTCAGAACTTAATGAAGAGGGTGATGTTTACTACGAAATTTACGATAAGTACGCTGCTTCTCCCGGACCTCTGTCCAGCGATCATGACCAATTACTTAAGGGCAAAAAATCGGACAAAAAACATCATTCCATATCTCCTAAACCTGGACGGTCGTCCAACCGTCCGATATCATTTGAGGGTCCATATGCTCATATGGACGGACGAACAGTGTCAAAAGATCTCTCTGATTCTGATTGCAGTCTTGTTCTGATGGACAATGAAGTATATGACCATTATGAATCTGCTCATGTTTGATGAACATTTACGGATTTAATGTGAAATTTAAGCAGGAATTAAGAGACAAGTTGTTGTGCCTTAATCCTTAACACGTCCAGAGTAACAATAAAACGGGGATACACATGTACAGTGTTTACTATGAATCGGTTTTTGCGTTATCGACAGATGCGCAACAAACATTACTATGTTCACCTGTTTTGACATGTGGAAATCCGAAACACGTACTCAAAGAAATAAGCGTTTGCTTGACCATAACAAGCAAACGCTGTAAGAGAAATGCAGAAAACTCGGGATGTGCATTATCGCAGATTATGACAGCCGTGTTATATTTCTGGTCGGTGGCTTTTTTTTCGGATCAGAATATTCGGACACCATTTTGGATGATATTTCGTCCTACTTGCTGCATTCAGCTAATCTCAGGTTCGGCATGATGCCTTGGAAAGAAATGACAAGGTTTTGAATCTATGTAGCTTTGTGAGCTTGGATTGAAAACGCGAAACTCTTTTGTTGTTTATGCTGTGTCAAATGAAGACCAGATTAAGAGTGATTTACCGCTTACTGAAGTAAGGGAGATAACTCTTACGAGACTGTGTGCCATTGAGTAGGGCCTCAAACTGTAGTGCCTCAGGAATAATGTGTGAAAATTCATTTAAATGACAAGTGCTTGCATAATTTTAATGTTTTTTTTTATTCTTGAATGAATACATGGATATGTTAATTAAAAAAATATGTCATTATTTAATGACGTTATGTAATTGCGAGTGAACTTTGGATGTAGTGAACGTTCTGGAAGCTTTCGATTTTCTTTTGCAAATATCGTAAAGTGAATCTACTGAGTATTATTCTAAATCATGCATTGACATCTGAATATCGCAATGACTTCTTAAAGTTATGTTTTGATACCGGTGTCTCATTGAGTGATCTATATGACTGAATTATACAAGTCCAATTCCAAGACGGAAGACAAAAATGTGGTAACGATATACTACAAATGTTGATTTTTGTGATTCACCCGGACAGGGCTGGGGATTCAGTTCTATAAACTATTATTTCTGTGTTCTGTAGAAGTTTGTCGGATTTAGGGTTAATATGTATGATTTTACCATTTAAATGAAGTACCATATTTGTTTATCGATGTTAATGTCTGGATCTCAGTGAGGTAGAAACCTTCATTCGTTCAAATATGTCTGCTTCCTCATTCCTTCACATTCATTTAAATTAAAAATGTATATCATAGCTATTTAGTCAAATCTTGAGGATTTTTTTTCGTAGGGGAGAAGGGGTTAGGCTTCTTTCAATAAAAGCGCGTCGTGCACGAAGCTCCACATATTAAAATCTGGCCAGGTGCATTATAACATTCAGAGCTTTTGTTTTTATTTTTCATTTTGAAGGGAATTTCTTTAAGGTTTGAAAATTGAAAATAACATATTATGTTCACATTAATGAATGTTATATATACTTCATTATACATCTGTGTCAATACAGAGAAATAAACATCCATGAAATGTACCCGTAGGTATCAAGCATCAAGCACTGTTACCATGTTGTTTTACCTGGCAATATTTTATTGAAAATCTACGACAAAAAGAACATCGCATAAAATTAGTACCTGAAATCTAAATGAATGCATCGTAACTAGTTTTTTTAATATTTGTAGACGAAAATGTTGATTGTGTAAAAAACATTTTAAAAATGGCTAGCCTAAACATATTGCTATGAAATGCACTGTTACCATGTTGTTTTACCTGGCAATATTTTATTGAAAATCTACGACAAAAAGAACATCGCATAATATTAGTACCTGAAATCTAAATGAATGCATCGTAACTAGTTTTTTTAATATTTGTAGACGAAAATGTTGATTGTGTAAAAAACATTTTAAAAATGGCTAGCCTAAACATATTGCTATGAAATGTTATTTGTTGTATATAATCGCTGCTGAAATTAAACAACACATCACTGTTATAGATATCCTTTTCAATGTACGCGTTTTGAATGGAGATCACAGAGAATTGTCCTAAAAAACATAACAAATATTTCAATTAATTTACGAATATTATAATGCGCCCTAGAAGTGTAACCCTCCTCCTCTTCCTCCTCTCCTCCTCACTACCACCAGCTTCATCTCTCCTCCTCCTTCATCTCTCCGCCTCCTTCATCCTTCTTCTCATTCTGTCTTTCTCCTCCTCCTCCTTCATCTCTACTCCTCCTCCTCATTCTGTCTTTCTCCTCCTCCTTCATCTCTACACCTCCTCCTCATTCAGTCCTCCTCCTCATTCTGTCTTTCTCCTCCTCCTCCTTCTCCTCCTCCTCTCCTCCTCCTCTCCTCCTCCTCCTCTCCTCTTCCTCTTCCTCCTCCTCCTCCTCATTCCTTCTCATCCTCCTTCATCTCTACTTCTCCTCCTCATTCTGTCTTCTTCCTCATTCTATCTTTCTCATCCTCCTTCATCTCCATTCCTCCTCCTCATTGTTTTTCTCCTCCTCCGCCTCCTCTTCCTCATTCTGTCTTTCTCCTCCTCCTTCATCTCTACTCCTCCTCCTCATTCGGTCCTCCTCCTCCTCATTCTGTCTTTCTCCTCCTCTCTTTCTCCGCCTCCTCCTCCTTCATCTCCATTCCTCCTCCTCATTCTATCTTTCTCATCCTCCACCTCCTTCATCTCTCCTCCTCCCTCCTTTTCTCTTCTCCCCTGTTCTCCTTCTTCTCCACCATCATCGTCATCATCGTTTAGGACAAACATAGAATTTAGACCGCAGTAAACGTACAAAGACCTTAAGAATGTATATATACAACACAGTCCTATGACATTTTTTGAAGTTTCCGTCTTTTTTAATTGGATATTTTTGGTACTTGATGGATCTGTTATTGGTTACATGTGGTACATACATGTGTAATCTAGGCCATTAATTGCCAGTTAGAGTACTGACTTCCGATATCTTTGTATATAACCGTTATAAGATGATGTTAGATTCTAGGACATCGTTTATCTAGAATGTTGATTTCTCATGTTGCCGTTCTCTTTATAAACATGTTGAATCAATTTAATAAAAAGACACTTTACGGATAATGTCAATTTGTTATTTTTCAAACCAATATTATGTTACATTTTGTACATTTGCATAAATAAACATGTCTACTAGTTACTTCCGGTCAGAGCCGTCTGGTGATTGTTACATACACCCGCACAAGTTAAAGGGTTGCTTATGTTCTTCAGGTTGGTGATGTCAATAGAATAGAAGTTCTTATAACACAACCAGTGAGTCGTTTTTTTGTTTTTTTGTTTTGTTTTTGTTTTTTTGTTTTGTTTTTCTTTTTTGCAAGATCGATTGTGTAAACTTGGATATTTATGAAGAAGCAATAATTAAGTTTAGTTGTCAAAAAAGATGGTTGCTTATCGGCGATCTTGTTTTTCTGGTCAGCCCGAAAATCAAAAGAGCAAACCCGGGAAAAACGAGAACCTACATCCAGAACTTCAGAAAGATCAATTCAGACCTTCAAAAAGGAAGGGCGACATAACACTCTGCTTATCTGACCAGTTCCAAATCATCACTTAAAGGTGAAATTTGAGAACAATCCATTCACTACTTGTCAAGAAATACCTGTGACGTGATATCATTGTCAAAAACTAAGATAGAGACCCGTCAGCAAGTTTAAACCCAAAATCATAAGGACACAACTGAAAACTAAGGTAAACCTGTATATAAAATTTTAAAAAAAAGATCCATCCAGTTCTTCACAGGCCTATAACTATTTTCAATGTCAAAATCCTTAATGACCAACTATGGATACATTTTCATCAGTGCCAAAATCAAAAGAGCGCAACAAGGGGACAAGGAGTAAATTTATATAACAATTGAGAAAGATGATTAAATTTTTCTTGAGAAAAAAACAATAAAGATAAAACAACATATGGTCATTTTCCACACTCAATTTCGATAAAACTAGGGTAAAATATATTTATATCCCCAAACCCTCCTCACCCCTCGCCTGCTTGCAAAAAGTACAACGATAAATGACCAAAAAGTCAAAACGCTCCCTACATTTTGGTCAGTCCAAGTAAGTAGTGTCACATTCTCAAATGATAACACAGTATGCAACCACGTGATATCCAGGTGTATCAAACACGTCCAGCTTTATATCGCACACAGAATCTTTCTAAATGAAATCACTAGGACGACCGTTAAAAAATCCCTATAATTGTCATGTACCCGCTTCCCTCGAAACCATATGTTGTGTGTTTGACTGGAAAATGTCTACATCTTACACGAAACTTGTCATACTGAAAACGAACTGTAAAATATCAAATCAACCGTGACATGTTAACGCCATAGGAAGGGAATTGTTTACATCACATCTGACCACCGACACATGAAGTCATAATTCTGAAGGAATGATAACGATACGTTTCTAGAGGAAACAAATTTACATGACCTCTACATGTAAATGGGCGATAAAGGATAGCCAGTCTCTAAACGCATTATTAGGCAATAATGTATCCCTTCTTCAGACACATATGACGTCAACAACCCAATATATCAAACAATTTATTAGTTTTCGTTGATCCTAATACGACCTTATGTTCTGTTTCATGTTTGACCTTGTAAGCTTGCACTTTAGTTTGTATCTTTAGTTTATTTTTTTATCCTCCGAACAACCATAAAACTGAAATTCGTGTACATTAGTTTGACATTAAACCTTGTTAGTGCGTGCTTAAAAAATATTTTCTGCACTTTGTTGGTATCGAATCCTGATTAAACCTGATGTTTCCAATGCGTATTTTCAATTAAGTTTAGTTTTGCTTTGGAGATTCAATTTCGAATACAGATTTCAGGTACATATATTTTGACTATGTTTTTATATTAGGATAAATGAGAATATTTATGAATATTCACAAAATCGGGTTATTTGAATAATGATGAGATACAGAAAAATCAATGAGTATCTTCTTTGTTACGTACTCTTTGTCTTCGCAACAGCAACGAAATTTGAGGACGGTGTCCGCGCATGATGGATCCGATACCGGATACTTTAAAATATGACTGTTCTACTACAAATGGCGCACTCGACTGGTGAAAAAATAAAAATAAATCAGACATGTAGAGCCATGGCTAGGAAATAAGGAGCTGGGGCTCAGAAAGGATAAGGTTTTTTGATTCATCAACGATACCCGTCATTAAAATACATGTACAGGCAATATCCAAGGTAATTATGCGTTCCTAAAATGAGAGCCGCGGAAGTGGGAGTAAAAAACAAAAAGAATACCATCATTATAGATGTATGATTCAGAGAAGTTTTCGTTTGATGTTAAACGTTTCCATACCATATAAGGTTATAATATTATGTAATGTGTCGAGAAATGAAGTTCGATTTGTAGTAGACAATGTTCTACAACACGATAGCATGGATGTCTGGGATTTATGTCCAGATAAGTGTTTACTATGTCATCCGTTGTTCATGTTTGTAATAACTGTAGCCCATGTATGAACAGTTCTAAAACAGGAAATAACGACATTTCACCGTTAAATCTGAATCAATTTTAAGCGGAAGTATTGTGATATAATTTAAAATCCTTTTGAGGTGATATTTTGGGATCATGCTCAGAGGAGAAAAATTATTAAGTTAGGAAACAAAATGCTTTGGTTTGTTTTCTCTCATACTTTCCTTGTTAGCTGTGTGTTTTTAATGTCTCATTACAATGCACCAATGTCGTGACGTCGTAGATATAAAAGGGGACTTCTCTGGTCTCAATCCTGGGGCTAGACAAGGGAATTTAGTACCGGTAAAAACGTGGATTCACCTTCCAGACTAAGAAAAAAATCGGTCCCGGTTTTTTTTTTTTTAAATGTTAAACCCGACGTTTTATCTCTCGTTACTATATAAGGCCCCTGACGCACATCTTCATCATATGTGACACCCCTGTCACCGTCTACAACTACCCTGTCATCGTCATTCAGTTTTAAAAATAATAGATTAGTAGGGGATTCATTGTCAGGGACAAAAATTTAATAGATGCAGTGAGCGGAAGTTTGGAATGAAAAACAGAATCTAATTAAATGTATCACTAGTGTACGAGTATTTGATTACTGAAATCACCACATCTAGGACAATGGGAGTGTTGCGTCGAACTCATTCAATGCGACCCGTAGATAGGTCAGGGGTCATGGGTATAAATATACCAACAGTATTACAGAAGAAAGCTTTTTCTTTAAAGTTTACATTTGATATATGATGTTGTAATAACCGAATCTATTTGTGTCTAAATGTAACTTTCAACTTGTAAATAGATTGCGTTGTTCAACCATACTGAAAGAAACAGAATGAAAATGAAAATTAACATACAACCAGTACGGATTAATACACTCTTCCTTCTAAACAACGTAGCTTATGGCAACCCATGTTTACCGGCGTAGTGATTCTTACTATTCGAAAACTTAATATATCAAAGAGAATCTCGTCCTATCATAATGTTTTACATTTCAACGTAACTTATCGTGCCTTAGCCTCTCATAACCCTTCTAAGATAGCACTTCCACACAAATCACACATCTTGTTATAAAAAGTCATAATCGTAAACAAGTATTACATCTGAGTGGAATGGATTATCAGAATGCAGGGGATATTACTTCAGTCAAGTGTCTGGAAAGTATTTAAGATTGGGGAAAGAATTGTTAATTATAAATGCACCTGCACCGATCTAACCGCTGACTACTAACCATAGTCCGGCGGACGGGACTTTAAACGTCGGCCTGTGTGAAGACTGTCCATCTTCGCCCGATAAGGACTTCTGTGTTTTTTTTTCGCAGAAGAGAAGGCGTGATAACGCCTAGCTAGATGTTTAAGGGATATGGTTAAGATAAAATTCTTTTTTTTTTATGAAAGAATTCGATCTACGTCATGTTTACTTAACATTCAACCAAAATTACGTAAGCCCCACCCAATCCTGTCCCTTCCACCCAGATAGACCAGAGTCAACTAGTACGATGTGGAGAACACCATCTACGCTACCGACTGGATAAGGCTACATATGACACAGGAGCCGTCTTCTAAAACTGCTCCATTCCTTGAGGGAGGTGCAGGTTGCCCCCGTTTATCGACAGAACATTAACAAACCACACATCGACTATCATCTCTGAGACAGCAAAATAATGCAGGTTAAAAATTTGGTTTAAAACATCAATAAATAAGTACTCAGATTCAACTTGACATTTTAACCACTGTTTAACCACTGTTTAACCACAAATCCTTCTATTCATTTTTTTTTTCGCAAATGAAATTATAACAGATACAATACACTCTATAAAAGCCTTGTTTCTCTCCGATTTCTCTGTGTCGGTAATGATCAGCACACTCGCATAACTGAATTTACGCTCTTTTTAGAATTTGTGTGTTTTTTTTTTTTTTAATTTCATTTTCATTTAAAAAGGTTAATACTCGAGTTTAGAAAACGAAGTGTCTACACCATACTAATATTCGGCCACCACATATACTCCTGCGTTGTTCATTAAACACATTAAGAAAATAACGTTTGGACGAGACGAATCATTTGTTAACTCCAACGATGTTTTCAAACATAGGAGTATACTAATTCATAATATCACTTACAATATTACTGTCGATGTTGTTACCTCATCGTCGCTATCATGAATGGCACACTTCACAATAAAAGTCTGCTAAATCTTCCATTGTGTTGTTCTATTGTCCGTTCAATTGCTTGTTTGATTTATGACAGGTTACAATTTGTTTTTGGGCAGGAGTGATAGTTTCATCACACAGTATCTGAAAGGTATCAAGGAAAAGCTAGACGGAGGATATGCACCAACTATTATAAAGAGAACTATTGAAAATCAACAAATTTAAAAAAAATTGATAATCTAATAAGGAACAAAAAACACCCCCAAAAAACAACGATAGAAAAAAAAAACAAACAAAACACACCACAGATCAACTTTATTTCAGAGTGGTACAATTTGCAGTGAAATTTATTGCTATCTTCCAACAATTTGAGCTCTCTGTAGTACACGTTGTATCAGTGAATTGTGATAAACCCTGGCCAGCCCACAAAGTTATTACGTTACTGTAGGCTATCGTCTACGATCAGCTGAAAAACGAATAATGGTCACATTTTTCTATTTACACAGTCTATATTGTTAACAATCTTGTATAAGTTTTATATGGATGCCGTCTATGAATCCACAATATCAGAAATACCAAGAATACTTATTAAGGAGAAGCATGTCGCTTTTCCAGCTCATTTGATACAATGGAACCACTAAACGTCCAGTCATCTCTGCGATATTTTTATGTTAAGTATCTTATTTTCAACTAAAAGACAGATTTTGTTGTTATTTTATGAAGACAGATTGGTAAACGGCATTTTTACACGTTTATATCTTGATCCGTATTTTTCAGTCCGCATTCCTTATCTGGTTTAGTATTGCTAGTAAACAACAGTCGAGCCACGCCCAACTCATCAGCTGTCATTGTCGGTCCATCAGTAGAACATCAATATTCAAGATTACAGGCGATACATTACAGGTAAGGATTTATATAAATCACTGTAGTTGTGTCAGTGTTAACTATCAGTGTGTGAATCCATTCATTTATGTGTCCGTGTAATGACTTTCCCGAGGAATCTATTTCCATCAATACTATACAAAAGTGAGATACACGTATACATGTACATAAGGTGAACAGGTAAACCAGTTACAGGGTTAAGTTCGTGTATGAAACATGAAAATCTCACCAAGCTCTGTTAATGCTGTTTTTATTTGATTTATTTGTAACAAAGTTGAAAATATGATAGACTAGTTGGGAAACCTTAGATCTGGTACTTGATCGTTAGTGATGGAGGTTATTAGGGTTATTAGAACATGTACCTATAACAGACAGTGTAAATACATGTAATCTGCACGCACTACTGGACCGAGCTATAGACTTGTACATGCCTATGGATATGCTTAACACCTTTTTTCAATTAAATGAAGACTATATCATAATGTTATGAGACAGAACTTTATTGATACATTATTTTTGTAATTCATTCACATGAAAAGAGAAAATACCGACAGAAATGTTCTTAAACTATTACGTGATGGCATCAGGTTATTATTTTGATCCTAATGAAGGTTTGTTTTCCCATGTTGAAATATTTCCTTTGTAATGTTGGACGGCAGGGGATGAACGTAAAACATATTTAACGTTTTCATCACGTGACGTACACTTGACATAAAACAACATTCCCTTGTGAATGTGTACACATTTTAACAGTGGTATCAATCATTAATTAATTGATCGATTGATTGATTGATTGATTGATTGACACTACCTCGATGCAAACCGTTTGTTGTGTCTTATTTTGTCGACAAGTGTTCGACGATTCGAAGTACCACTGCCCCCGTCAGTTTCGGTTCGTTGATCTGAACAGGTCCCTCTCGTTTACCACGTTTCTAAGTAACATCAAAACGTTCAAATGAAATGATTCCGCCATTGAAACGTAAACTTAACACCTTTTTGGCGTCAATTAAATGAAGACTATATCCACTCCATATGAATATGCTAATTATCTTCGTACAAATATGCATTACGTTAATTTTCTCCACATAGGTATACATGCTGTTGTAAGCCACATTGTCCCGTTTCTTTATCTGAGTGAACACGCATTGAAAAGAGGGAATTTTCTGTCCTCTATTTATTGACCGAAATACTTGTTTTTTCTCGGGCCACCAGCAATTCCATGTCGATTGAATAATGAACTACGTTACACCATGCACATTATCGTTGGAACAAGATTGGTTTTCTTTTTGTTTTTATCGTTTCACCACCTATATACGTATAAGACTTGTACAGCCGCAAACGCAAAAATATAAAAATTGACATCGAATTGGTAAGAAGGATGGTCATTTATATTCTACTGTGTTTTGCAGATTTGAAGTATCGATGGCAGACGTTCAATCGAATCATCAGGCGAATGTGTTTACACAAACTATTTTGATGCTATCATACATTTTGTGAAGAATGTTTGAAGACGTCGATTCTGCGATTTGACAAAGTGTTAATTGTGAACTGCGTCACATCGTCGATGGTCAATAGCAATACACTTTGGGCAACAAACGCTGTGATGGTCGTCACAAACTACATCTACAACTGCTGAATGTTGGGAACATATCTCAGTCGTTGGAGGAAAGTCATCTTCAATAGACAGTAGGGTAACATCTTCAGATATCAGATCGTTTTTCTTACAAGAGTCGCAAAGATACTTATTTGTCTCTTTCCACAACACCGTTGCTATAGAATCAACTTTCCCTTGTTTACTGCATGGATAACAGTTGTACCTTTTGCATCCTGACCCGTTCTCTGATTTTATCTCGATTGTTAGTTTGTTGGCTACAAACATGGTAGCCCACTCGTCACGGTTCTGATTTGGGTCAATAGGTAACGTAACCTCTCTGCACACAGGACAAGTGAAGGAGGGTTCCTCCTGACTTTGACCAAGGATCGACGTCTTCAGACATTCTTCACAAAAGGCATGATAGCATGGTAAAGACCTTGGACATTGGAGACTGTGTAAGCAGAGAGGACATTCACTAATGTTTGCCTCGAGGTCACCTGATGTTTTACCAACTTTAGCTTGAACTTCTGTCATCGTGACTTTTTAACAACTGTTTGTCCTGCAAAACACAACAGAATAAATATTGCATGAGACCAGGTATGATATTTAATGAACATCTCGATTACCAATACGAAGCATTGTTTTCACATTTCAATTTTTTAGATGCATTTTCTGTTGCTGGTAAAACGATACAAAACAAATAAAAGCTAATCTCGTACACATGTCTATGTGCATGTTCATCCAGATTCAGCCATGCGTGATGAAAACCTATTACATGAATTTCAATTTTTATGCATGATGCAATCCTGCTCTTTCAAATGCTGTTCAAACCTGTTTTATAATCTGCCTATTGTAGACTATAGAAAGGAAAATGATATCATTGAAACTTATGTTTGGCGCCGACAAAGTCAATCGGTTGAATGACTCTAAGGGAAAAGGATTATTTATTATTCAAGTGTAGGTGCAAAAGGAAAGGGCGATTGCGGCTTGTTGTAGCAAGCGTGTCTCTGTGGAAGTAATTGGCATAAAGCACGTCAATATAGAGGTAATTAGCATATTCATAATGTGTGATATCATCACGTGACGGGTGGGCGTGTCGACTTTTTCAGTTACAATGTTAACATACAGGTTAAACAAAGGAAATAAAAAATGAAAATACAATAAAAATATCATTAAACAGATACGCTTGAATGACAGTATATGAACTAATCTGTTGTTTTTTTATTCTATAAAAACCGAGATGTTACTATACCTTAGTCGAGAAAACTGAACAGTAAATCAGAATTGTCAATTCCGGATAAACTAGAAACATATTTAGCTTTATACATGTTTAAAGTTATATCTTCCTCATCACCAGTTTTATCATACTCGACTCACGATCAGATGTAGAATGGCACTGAAATTAACAACCTTCAATTAATTTTTATATCAATTATCAGTAAGAGAGAAATAATATATAGCTCTATAAATACTGTCCAAAAAAAGAGTTATTTTATATCGCTATTTCAGGTTCTTTTTACAGAATTTTATAAAGGACACAGTACTTGTGTCAATACAGCATAAAAACAACTTACAGATACCCTTACGTTGCAAATATTTCCGTCCATAATCCCGATATTATTAAATCGAGTCGCTCTTCCAATAGGGTTCAAATAACACAGATAATATCACTTGCTGCCAATGTCTCTCTCAAAGGGATTAACGTAGCGCAATTTCTATACGAAATACTCTTTACATTCGAAAGAAAACTTTGTTAAGCATACCCTAGGGCATTAACAAGTCTATAGCTCGGCCCATTGTGTTTACATGTATATACACTGTCTGTTATAGGTACATGTTCAAATAACCCTAATAACCTCCATCACTTACTATCAAATACCAAATCTAAGGTAAAAAAAATAAAAATAGCATTAACAGAGCTTGGTGAGATTTTCATGTTTCATACACGAACTTAACCCTGTAACTGGTTTACCTGTTCACCTTATGTACATGTATACGTGTATCTCACTTTTGTATAGTATTGACTGAAATAGATTCTTCGGGAAAGTCATTACACGGACACATAAATGAATGGATTCATACACTGATAGTGAACGTTAACACTGACACAACTACAGTGATTTATATAAATCCTTACCTGTAATGTATCGCCTGTAATCTTGAAAACTGATGTTCTACTGATGGATGATGGACCGACAATGACAGCTGATGAGTTGGGCGTGACCCCACTTTTGTTTACTAACAATACTAAACCAGAATGGATACGGAATGCGGACTGAAAAATACGGATAAAAAAACATTATTTATGTACATGTAAGACGTCTAATTGTTGTTCTAGTAACATTCTTTACAAATGAACAGGATCTTTTATTAGGAAAGATAATCATTATTTGACTCCTCATGTCACTGTTACCTACATGTTAAAGGATTATGCATTGAAAATAAATAAATTAATGAATAAATAAATAAAAATACGCCTAAACGGATTTCAGACTGTGATTATTTATCTTGACGATTTACATTTTTACATGCTCATCTTGCGCTGTGACATTTACCATCTTCCAGTGATGATTTGAAACTGAGTCGTCTAGTCAAGAGTAGGTATAATTCCCTGTGTCCTGATTCTTACATCTCGGGTCCTTATTGTATAAGTCGGGGAAAACAATGCGTTGCCAAGTTTTTTTCAATTGTATTATTTGCACTGGGAATTAAACATTTGAAAATGTTCTCCTTGCTATTGCTGTCTTTGTTTATGGTAATGATTTGAAATTGAGTTATCTCTCTTGTGACGTTCGTAAAACACTTGACTTTGTTTACGAGGGTTCGCATTTCCGTTTGTGTATCAGCTACATTCAATTTTGAATAGCTGTCATCCTCTGTTTTCTTATTCCTTTATCATGGGTTGTTATTGTACAAGTTTGGGAAAACAAAGCGTTGCCAAGTTTTTCAATTGTATTATTTGCACTGGGAAACAGAAAATTTGAAATTCCTATCCTTCCTAGCTATTTTTTTTTACCAATTTCAACTGTATTATTTGCACTGGGAAATAGAAAATTAGAAACTCTTATTCTTCCAATTACTATCTTTTTTAGCAATTAAAAAGACCCAGAAAAAATCCTCTATTTTCGCAAAGATGGCAACGCCAACAAACAACAATAGCAATAGCAAAATCCATACGTCTCTTTAAACGTTTCCATATTGCTTTTGAATATGAACAATGCTTTTTACATGTTTATGCATGCAGTCAATAGTTTCACATGTGTCTTATTGACATTCAGCTGGAGTGGAATTAAGGAGTCGTGTTCAAAAGCATTGTAATACACAGGCTCATTCTGATGTCAGTGTGAAGCCGAATCTTAACAACAGGAACTGAAGGGTTACCAAAACAGCGACACATCAGTCGACAAAGATACAGCATTCTACTGAAGTTATTGAAAAATGGGGATAGTGGACCTTAACACCTACAGTGTGATATTTATTTTGATTCATTTTGTTTGCCTCAGTCTTTTCCAAGGCTTCAAAATTAGGATCATCAACATCGCTAACGAGTCCATAGATGGACAAAGCAGCTGTGTGATGCAGTTTAATTGACTCTATTCTGCCTAATTTCAAAATTGTGTGAAAAAGTGGTTTTCATTTTTGTCTACAATCTTTAAATTATCAACGTTCATCTGCTTTACGTGTACATATGTAAATGTGTTCAAATGCTGATCAATTACCATTGAAATCCACAGAATCCTTTGAGGCAAATTTCTGAATGCTAAATTCAGTTCTAAATATTGAATTTAACTTCATTAATTTTACAACAATTGCGATAGAAGTAATTCAGAGTTATATTAATTAATCTTGTTGGCCCAGATGGAAGCGAGAGATCCCGAACCTTTTTGCGTCCGTTCCGGGAATCGAACCCCGGACACCGCTGTGTTACCTGAAAACCTGCTAGATATCCTCACCAATGCCGCAAATTGTCCAGGATGACAGGAAATTTGTCCTTTTTAAGAACATGAAGTTTGATCATCGCTTACAGTTTGTGGAGAAGAAAAGAAGACAACAACAGAGTGGGAAAGGTCCAAACGAAACATCGAAAGCTGTTTAAGTGATCTGTCATAGCACACAGAGACACACAATGGAAATATTTAGTCACATTTTGTTGTATAGAATTTCGAAATATTTCCATTTTTGTAAAAAGAAGCTGTAGGCATGATATATGGTTATAAAATTTATCTCGATTAAGCTGCAAGCAGTTGCATTCCAATAAGACGTATTTCCTTGCAAATGTTTGTTTTTTCTTCTTTTTCTTTATTAAGATTAAACAACAATTTTTTTTATTGGGCTTTACAGTTTAGGATTAAAGCATCACTGACTAGTCCTAGAAGGACGAAACAACGTTTTAAAATCTTTAACAGGAGTGCAGTGACTTTTCTAAAGCGAACAAATAATTCAATATTCACTTTTCTTTCAATAATGAACAAACATTTGATGTAGACAATGCTTTTTTTTATAGATTTTATTATGAACGATAATCGGTATAGGAATGGACAAATATGTTGCAAAGACCTTTTATAGCAACTACAATTATATATATTGATCTATTATAGTTTCCATGATTTCGTGGTTTTGAGCAATTTTATGTCCACCGAGGACGCTCCGCTGCCCGGAGTCAGCAACAATTCAACAGTTCAAGTACAGCGGGGTCCATACCTCGTTTCCGGATCCATTTTCTATCTTCAGTGTATACTGTATCTGAGTGGAATAAAAGTTGAAGCACAACACAAGGATATTACAGAAAGAAAACGTACTATAAACAACCATTTCCCAGTATGGCGATTCCCCGGGACCTAAAGGTATTGGCGCAACCGACAGGCTTTATTTGAAAAATATGAATTCTTGGAAATAAAAATAGGAATATCTGTGATCGGAATGTTTTGACATGGCTGCTTTGCACTACCGTTAGTCTGGGAACAAGTGTACACAGGGGAACGATATAACGAATAAATGTGATAAATTTAATCTGTTTTAGAGATCAGAGATTCACAAATGACTTTGATGGATTCATGACACACTTGCAAGCCTTGCCATATTGTACAAATACACATTCCATATGGTCCCATACAAAAGAAATGTTCACCGCGGGGTTTTCCCTGTAGAAAGGATACTATATAATTCAACCGATGTCGATGGTCGGCCAAATATACACTGATCATAAAGAATTGTTTTATAACCCAAAATTCTTGTTATCTGTATCGCTTAAATTCTATTTGGAATCCATCGTTACAAGGAGATTCTTTCTATCACAACTCCATCTATTAAGTGTTTTGAAACAGACTGAACATAAATGGAGAGTTTCAGATAGTAGTTATTGTATTGTAGATGGGTGGTAGTGAAATGTGTCGTGACAGGTACTACATGTAATGACAGAAGACAAAACTAAAATCGATTTTCTTTAAACCTGGACAGGTGTATCCACGCTTTTGCCGGTGTGGGATCTGCTTGAAGCCCCGTTCTCATACCACTGACGTAATATTGATGCGAAG